AGTGACTCCGTTGGGTTTCCAAGGCTGTAATCTTTAGGGAAGCAGCCTGTGTTACCTTTCTTTCACAGAGCAGCTGGTGGGTTCAAACCACTAACCTTTCAGTTAACAGCCAAATACCTTAACCATTACACCACATACAACCCAGTAATTACACTCCTAGGTATATACTCAAAAGACTTGAAAGTAGAGACTCAAAAAGAGACTTGTACATCAGTGTTCACTGCAGCATTATTCACAATAGCTAAAAGGTGGAAACACCCTAAATGCCCATCAATAGAAGAATAGATAAACAAAACGTGGTCCATACATACAATGGAATACTACTCAACCTGTAGGAGAAGCGAAGTCTTGATACATACTACAGTACGGATGGAGCTGGAAGACATTACATTAAGTGAAATAAGTCAATCACAAAAGGACAAATATTGTATGACCTCACTTATATAAAAAGATAAGAAAATGGAAATGTATAGGGACTAAAGTTTATTTGTAGTCACCAGGGGCAGGAGGAAGGGGAAAAAGGGGTTTAACAGTGATGGAAACACTGTATGGATTAAGGGTTGGGTTGCACAGTTGATTACTGTAACTGCTGTCAATAAGTTATACACCTATAAAAAGTTGAATTGGTGAAAGTTATGCGATAGATGTATTTATAATGACCAAAAAGAAAAAAAAAAAAAAAAATTAGCTGCTGAGGCTACTTATGCACAACCAACCACCTCATGGGATTTGGTTCCTTGGTTTGGAGGTTTAAGGTCATGGTTTAATGGGACATCCCAGTAAATTGGCCTAATAATGTGTTCAGTGCTTCTGTTCTACTTTTCATTCTTGCATAATGCCTCGGGTCTTAAAAGCTTGTAAGCAGCCATCCAAAGCGTAACAATTGTCTCTATTCACTTGGAGCAACAGAGGAAGAGAGTCAGTAATAAGAGATGGATACAGAATGTGTGGCTAATTGCCTCCATGAACAACTGTCTCCTTTGTCATAAGACCAGAACAACTGGATGGTGCCCACCTAGTATTATTGAACATTTTGATCAAAGATTCCACAGAAGAATCCTGATCAAAAGGGAGAAAATACAGAACAGAATTCCAAATTCTCATGGACTAGACAGTCTAGAGTTATGGTGGGTGGAAGAATCCCTGGAACTACTGCCCTGAGATAATCTTTAAACTTTAATCCAAAAAATGTCCCCTGAAGTCTTCTTAGTACCGAACAAGTTTCACTTAACTAGTAAAAATGTCTGCCTTGAACACTATGCTCTTTTAACAACTATTTATATGGGATCAAAGTGACTACAGTAACTCAAAAGATTAGATAGGAATTTTAGGGGGCAGTGAATTTATGTTAATGAGGGAGGAACCACTCAGAAAAGGAGGCTGAGAACGGCTGTACATCTCAAAGAATGTCATCAATGCCACTAAACCGTACAAGAAACTGTTGAATTGGTGTATACTTTGCTGTGGGGCACAGCCTCAACAACAACAACAAAATAAATAAAATTTAGAGAGAAAAAAAAGGCCTAGATTTGCCTTTGGATTCAGCAATTGCCCTTCTGATAACTTATTTACCTTCAATCTGACCTGAGGGAGGAAAATAAAGAAAACGTCATCCTGAAAAGTTTTAAGCCATAAATTTACCCGCAAGCACAGCTGGGTCAGAACTCACACAAGTATGTGTGGCCTACAAACCCCAAGCCTGAAATTTTGAGATTGATGCAGTCCTCACTTTGTGTACCCCAAGGAATGCCTGCTTCCTAGAAAGCCCACTTTACACCAAGGCTGCAAAGAATCATCACGGACAAAACTCCAGTAATTCATAATCATATACAGTGTATTTCATATTTCAAAATGTTTTTCTACTGTGATTTATGCATTCTTATGTGAATGAAAAGCAGAAGAGTAATGCTGATATAACACAGAAGTCTTGTTGGTCTATTTAGAAGTTTTCATAGCACGTTAATGTTTAGGAGCAAGCAAGCAAGTAGTTAAGACCAAACCTTAGCAATTTCATGAAGTTCTGAAGAAAAAAGCCAAAAATCTATAGAATTGCAAGTAGAAGCTGCTTTAGTGGCTTCAAGAAGTGCTACAACTTCCATTATATTGGGTTATCTGGTGAAGCTGGAAGTACAAATGTAAAAATTGGGAAGGTACTTTCTCCTGTGTTAAAACAACGCGTAAGTGCAGAAAGCAACACTCTGGATTAGATTTTCAGTTTGGATGAAAGCAGTCTCTATTAGAAGTAAATGCTCTCAAACAGAGGTCCTGGGCAGAGAGGGAGAAAAAAACATGTAGAACAAAATTCAAAATTATAAGAAAGACCAGGTTTACTGGTCCAATAGAGACTGGTGGAACCCTTGAGACTACGGCCCTCAGGCACCCCTCAAGCCTAGAACTGAACACACTCTTGGCAATGTCAGCCAAAAAACAGACAGGCCTATAAAGTGAATAACAACACCAGGGAGGAATGTGCTCCTCAGTACAATCAACCATACGAGACCCAAAGGGCAGCATTTGCCCCCAGAAAAAGGATCAGGGGCCAGAATGGGCAGGAAAGAAGGATGGCCGGAGAGGGAAGGAAGTAAGAAGAGTGCTGTTATGTTGAGTGGTTTGCAACCAATGTCATGAATCAAAATGTGTATAAATTGTTGAACAGAAAACTAATTTGTTTTGTAAACTTTCACCCAAATTACAATAAAAAGTTCCAAAAGAAAATCCCAAATAGAAATAGAGTTTAGCAAGGTACGTGGCTCTATAAATACATTAGAAACCAAACCCACTGCCATTGAGTCGATTCCAATGCACAGAGACCCTTTAGGACAGAGTAGAACTGCGTCACAGGGTTTCCAAGGCAGTAAATCTTTACAGAGCAGACTGCCTCATCTGTCTCCCCAGAGCAACTGGTAGGTTTGAAACACTGACCTTTGGATTAGTAGCTAAATGCTTTAACCACTGCTGCACCAGAGCTCCTTATTAATAGATTATATGAATTACTAACATAATTACTATGTTATATTAATATATAAAGGTTAAAAATCTCTAATCTTGGAAAAAAATCAAGTCACAAAAATATTAATAAAGTATATAAAGGTGAAAAAGAGGCAAAGCGATAAATTACACTCTTTGGAGACACATATGTGGTAAAATTATAAAGAATAGAAGGAGATTATTAACACCAAATTCAGGACAGTTTACCTCTGGGATGGGGGTAAGGAAAGAGATTTCAAAGGCATCATTAAGATTTTCTTTCTTGGTCATTATGATTCCTAGGCCTGAAGGGTCATATGAAAGGAACAGTGACCAGAATTCAGTCAGAGCTGCAGGAAAGAACCCAGTCCAAGTAGACCTTAGGTAGAGGGGTGCAGCCACTGCCAAACTTTGGCCCAGCAGGAAAGGAGCCTGGGAAAAAAAATACCTAGCTTCTTCCTGTTTCACCATGCAATCTCTTCTCACCCTGTCCTGAAGGCACAGAGCACAGAACCTACTGATACAGACCACATAGGTCACTTCCTGAAGCAAAGAGCTGGGTGCAAAAACATGGGGGAAAAAAAAAATTTCTTTCTTAAGACAAGGTGTGGATTAAGTAGGTGTTCCTTTTGTTATTATTCTTTACACTGTACATACATGGCACACATACTCTTATTTCCTTTTTTTTTTTTTTTTTTTTAAGAAAAGGCTCTGGATGTTAAAATAGCAAGGCATTAATTAAAACAACTGCATGATTTGTGGGGTTTTTTTGGCAGAGTGCGGAACTGTTTGTATTTTCAGATATTTTTACAATGAGCTTTTATAATAAGAAAGGCCACAAAAGTAATTTATTATTTTTTTAATCTTTAAAGGAATAAAAAGCACTTCAATTCTACATTGAGGAAATCAAATATTTGATAAAGAATGCATACATATGTGCTTGGTATTTTTCTGAGGCACATACACTGATTGTTTTTTGAAAAATTCATGTTCGTCTTATTTATTTTAATTAAATACCATTTTAACTATACTGAGGGTTGGTTATATAATGGGAGTTTGTGTTGAATTAATGGTAATTTATGATAGCTTTATCAGCAAATTTATATAGTTTGTTAAATATCCCCACTCAAAATCAAATTTGATATTGAGAATATGCATTTTGACATATCAGATAATTTTAGAGGAAGGTACATAAGCTATACCTAGTCTTACAGCAAGGAATTTGGCAGAACTGGGTAAATAACTAATTTACACTATTTCCCAACTGAACTTCATCTCCAACAAATCTGGCAAAAGTGAAAGAAATCTATGAACACACAGGGCTTTCCCCATGTAAAGGCTGGGAAGGCCAAAATAGCCCTGGGCAGGAACCAATGAATACTGGTACTTTAACAGCTTAATTTTGTTTACACTGTATTGATGACTTTTATAAAAAGAAAATTCAGCTTCTAGGGAAAAAACAAAACAAAACATGTATTTAGCCACAAGAAGCTAGAGTACAAGCTTTATAATACCACTAATGGGCAATACAAGGCCACTTAGAGTAAAGCTTCTGTGAGGCCTTAAAAATGCAAGCCTTCAACTCCCACCTGGCTGTTAGCAATCTGAATGAACCATTAGAAGTGAGGCAAGCAGACTCATCATTTTAAGGGGCAGTATCATAAGCACCCAACCTCTTCCAGATGGTGAGGAGCAGTTGCTCCAGATTTCAAGAAGTGGATTTTCTCTTTGAAAAGCCATTAGAAAGAGCCTCAACCTCCAGAAACCACCCTCCTAGGATATATTCATGGTCTCAGTCTCCATGTCATCTAATCCCAGTAACTAAACAACATAAACTCCTCAAATGGATAATAACACTGAAGATTCCTTCTCCAGAAGACTGTAGCGGCTGACTCCCATGACTGTTGACACAAAATGAAAAAGATCACAAGTTGCTTGCCCTTTTTTTGTGGCTACCTCAGAAAGGAGAACTTGGGGACCTGTGACGAACATTACAAAGGGAAATGAAACCAAGACTTTCACTTTTGCCTTACCTTTTCAACATCAGCTTTCGTAACATTGATGTCAGCGTCCATCTTCTCAAAATACTGCTGCGCTCGGTCAGCCTCTCTGCAATCCCGCTCAAATCGTCTTTTACTCTAAATGCCAGGGAAAATGGTGGTGAGGAAAGTGATGAGTTATAAAAGCAAGGGATACATATGAGGAGATACCATTTTATTTAAATTCAAAAATGAGCATCATTCTCTGAACTGATTTGCTATGTCACAATTTTAGGCAGTTATTTAAAAACCTGCATTTATTTTCATCTCAACAGTCTAAATCTTTGTTCTTTCCATATGACTTTTAGAAAAATACTTGAGCTCTTTTGGCTTGTAAACATTTTACTTTAGATAATGACTTTTGAAACAAAATTATATTAAATTCAATTTAGAAAAAAATCTTTAACGACATTTCTTTCTTCAGTGTGTGGTGTTTGTTTTTATTTGATTTATTTTTGGTTGTTTTTAATGTATTGACTAATTTAAGCTTGAATGAAATTCAAGTTCGAAGGTTCTACAAAGATTTCTGAAATGGTTTGCTTTTCACTTACAGATTCAAGTTGCTTCCAGCAAGTCTCTATGTGCTGCTGTGCCTTACGTCCATCATGAAAATGCTGGAAGAGAGAAAACATGTCTGTGATTCTCACATTCATGCGTTGTTGTTGTTATGTGCCGTTGAGTTGCCCTCGACTCATAGTGACCCCTCCTTGGGTTTCCGAGGCAGTATCACTACAGAAGTAGGATTGCCCAACCTTCCTTCCGAGGAGTAGCTGGTGGGTTTGAACCGCCAGCCTTCTAGTTAGCAGTCAAGCACGTTAGGCACTACGCTACCAGAGCTCCTCATATTCATGCATAAGAAAAAAATTTTTTTCACTCACTTAAATGTTTAAATATTGAATGTCTACTATGTGTACTCCAAAGAAATGTAAGAGTTAAAAAATAAAATGGAAATGAAACAAAGAGTAGTCACAGGGTTCCCTTTAAAATTTGATAAAATATTGAATTCTACAACTTATGTAACACCAACTTGTGAAAACTACTCAACCCACTGTGATGGAGTCAATTCCAACTCAAAGGGACCCCCACTGGGTTTCCAATGCTGTAAATCTTAAAGGAAGTAGATTGTATCATCTTCCTCCCATGGAGCAGCTAGTGGGTTTGAACCACAGACCTTCCGGTAAGCAGGCAAAAGCCTGACACACTCCACCACCAGAGCTCTTTAATGGGTTAGCAGGTTTTTACTATTGTCTTAAATGTGAAGTGTCAGATAATGAGATAGTCAAGTGAGGAGCAGGTATACTAAAAGCCATTCAATTGTACACTTTACATGGTGAATCGTATGGTATATGAATTATATCTGAGTAAGGCTGTTTAAAAAAAAAAACAGTTACAGGGGTGTTTCTTATTAAGACAGCCATCAGTTGGATCTTTTTTTAAACAGCTTTACTCAGATACAATTCACTTATCATACAATTCACCCACGTAAAGTATATATTTGAATGGTTTTTAGTATACCTACCTCTCACTTATCAACTATCTCATTATCTGCTATTTTGCCATTTACAATATTAAAAAAATCTACTAATCAAGTATTTAGTGCATTAACAACATATGTCTGTCAGTAATGAAAGCCAGGGTGTGAGATTAGAGCAATAATGCTGGCTGTGATGGTTACGGTTATGCATCAAGTTGTCTGGGCCATGATTCTCAGTGGTTTGGCAGTTACTTAATGATGTAATTTGGCAGTTAGGTAATGAAGAAATTTGACAGTTACGTAATAATGCAGTCATCTTCCATTTTGTTATCTGATGTGGTCCTCCTCCATTTCTGCATAACTGATTTTCATATACATACCCACTGCTGTGGAGTCGGATCCAACTCATAGCGACCCCTCCTTGGGTTTCTAAGGCAGTATCACCACAGAAGTAGATTGCCCAACCTTCCTTCCGAGGAGTGGCTGGTGGGTTTGAACCGTCAGCCTTCTGGTTAGCAGTCAAATGCCTTAGGCACTACACCACCAAAACTCCTGATTTTCATATAATGACTGGTTTTTGAAATCTAACCATGTCGATAAATGAGGAGTGTGCTCACAGAGTTATGCAACCAGCATTACAATCAGTTTTGGAACATCTTACTCACCCCAAAAAGCCTTAGCCTTCACCGTTCAATCACCCCATTTTCCTATGAATCTACTTTTTGTCTTCATAGATTTATGTATTCTGGACATTTCATGTAAATGGAATTGACCAATCTGTGTGGTCTTTTGCGACTGGCTTCTTTTCACCAAACACTTCAAGGTTCACCTGTTGCTGCATGTACCAGTACTCCATTCCTTTTTACTGCCAACCATTCCATTGCATGTTTATACCATGCTTCCATTCATTATTCGATTTAGGAATACCCAGTTTTTTACTACAAACGTTCATATAAAGGTTTTGTGTGGATGGATGTTTTCATTACTTAGATCTCTTTTTAAGGTAAATTCACCTCCCTGCTACCTGCAAAGGACCTGAAGCAGGCACAAGCCTGTGCTAAGCAACAAAGATACAAGTGGGGCTGGACCAAGGTGAGCATCAAGGGAAACATTAGGAAACAAGGTGAGAGAAGAAAGAAGGTGATTGTGGGCGTGTAGAGGCTTTTTTATGTGAATGAGCTGAGGACCTCCAGTAAAGTGCCATGTGGAGGACTCCAGGCAGGAGGCTATTGTAACAACCTCGTGGATGAAAATGACTTGGGCCAGCAGTGCGAAGGGGTCAGATTCTGGATATATTCTCATCATTTGAACACCAGGATTTGCTAGTGGATGGGGTCAGATGTGAGATAGTGAGATGTCCATGGTGACTCAAAGGCTATTAGTGTGAACTTCAGAAGGAGAGGTGAGAGTGAGAAAACGATCTGAGAATGGGAAATCAGCTGCTTAGGTCTGGAAGTGTCAAGGTTGCTATTTCTATGGTACTTCAGTGTCACCCTCCCCAAAGTGGAGAACCTAACAGGCAGTCAGATATATAAGCCTGAGTTTGGGGAAGGACACAGTATAAAAGCATATTCTGTCATCATCATAAAAAATGGGTAAAGCCATGAGATTAGATAAGATCACCACGAGAGATGAAGATATTAAGGGAGGACCTGCTAAAACACAGAGAAATATTAAGAAAACAGTGTCTCTTCTTAGGGAACGGAAGTCATCAGTGTTTCCTAAATCCTTTAATATTCTTCAAGTCTGTGGCAATTAACAAACGTGCTGGATGTTTTCCATATCCATTCTCCACCCTGTTCTGTGTCCCAAGAGACTCATCTGTAGTGGTCACATGGCTGGTATCCCAACAATGGTCCCTCTTGCCTCTGGCTCTGATCAGATTTGCCACGAAGAAGTTTTGGCCTATCAGAGGGCAGAAATTTACACCCGTGGCATCCCCTGGCTAAATGCCACAATTGACTCTCCATAGAAGGCCACAGCTCTGGTCAGGCAGCCTTGTCCACACAGCTAAACACAAGTCCCTATAAATACCCCCCAGGCCTTCCCTCTGAGTCTTAACAGCCCCAGGGCACTGTGGGGCACTGCACCATCCCTTACTGCTCTCACTGAATGAATCCTACTCACAACATCATAAATGCTCCTTTAAATAAAGGGCTTTCCTTCAATCACTCAGTTGGAAGGAGGTGTCTGATTTCTGCCTGAGTAGGTAAGCATTGGTGGTGGGGTGTACTATGGGGGGGGCGAGGTTCGAGGGCGGTGAAATAATGACCAAGATGAAGAGTACAATTTCAGAGCTTTTTATTTTACCTAGTCAGAACCCATGATTCAGCTAAGTTACCAACGATAGCTGACTACTGGGGTGGGAAGGAAAGGAGGGAGGAGACGAAATCAGATTTTTTTAAAGCACAGTATTCCTTTTAAGGGGATGTTTTCTCGCCTCTCCTTTAAGGTCAGGTTTCACTCTGCTTTAAGCACCTCTTTGCAGCAAGTTTTATCCATTTGACTTTTTTTTCTTTCTTTCTGGTCTCTAGAAACCCAAGAGGAGCCACTTGGGGCCTCATTTTTCAACTCTCATAATGGGACATAGGGATAAAACAGAGTCAAAGGCCAGGAATAAAAGGCAAGAAAGGATCAAGACTATGGAAGAAGTTGGAGTAGCACTGAGGGCAAGTTCGGAAAACAGACCCTGAATCTTGGCAGAAATACAAAACGCAAACAGGTTTACTACAAGTCATAAACACAGCTTTTAAAACATGAAAGTGAAGGCACAAGGAAAGCTGAGGGCAGAAGGGCAGGTTAGGGAGAATCCCAGACGAATGCTAACCTGTGTCCTTTCAGAGAGGCAACATAACCCACTGCCACGGAATCAGTTCTAACTCATAGCAACCCTTTAGGAACTGCCCCCATAGGATTTCAAAGGCTGTAATCTTTATGGAAGCAGACTGTCTCATCTTTCTCCTATGGAGTGGCTGGTGAGTTTGAAATGCCACCCTTTTGGTTAGCAGACAAGCACTTTAACCACTGTGCCATCAGAGCTCCTCTAGAGAAGCACAGTGGGTTCTCAACATCTTTGTCCTTTTCAGAAATGTGACATTCCATGTCAAGAGAACTATCTCCATTTTCCAAACAGGACAACAGTGCTCTGTCCTTTGTTGCCAAAAAGATAGCATAACTTCCCAGTTTTACTTTGAGATTCAAAGTTAGACACAAAAAAATAAAACGCCAGTACTGAATTCAGAGAACTGTGTTCTAAGTTTCGCTCTATCTCTACAACAACTCTAAATGTTTTAAGAAAATGAAAGCTCCCTTACAGCCTACAGCAATTAAAAAACAAAACAAAAACTCAGCTGCCGTTGAGTCGGATTCGACTTACAGCGACTCCTCCTTGGGTTTCCGAGGTGGTATCACTATGAAGTAGATTACTCAGTCTTCCTTCCAAGGAGTGGCTGGTGGGTTTGAACCGCCAGCCTTCTGGTTAGCAGTCAGATGCCTTAGGTACTACATCACCAGAGCTCCCGCCTACAGCAATTGTTGTTGTTGTTGTTGTTGTTATGCAATAGAGGGTGGAAAAGGAAATGTATAAAAGAGTACACACAGGTTGACAAGGCTTTATTATAAAAGGAGTCTTTCCTGAAAAACAATAGAAATGCACAGACAAATTTTAAAAGCCCTAGGGATGATTTTGATTGAATCCCATGCAGCAAATTCTCTTCTCACTCGTTAATTTAAATGTATAATAAATATGAATTTATTTTTAAAGCACACTGTGACTTTAATGGTGAACATTTTCCAAGGAAAGACTCCTGGGTCCCACCACCCCCTTCATTATTCCACAAATCTTGAAGACTAAAACAACTGGAAACTACACTTAAGATAGTAACGTTTCATGTGATATAAGAAAAAACTCTTGGTTGTGGTGATTGTCCTTCTAGTCTCCCACTGTATGTGTTTCTCCAAAAATGTATCAGGCTACAAACAAACAAACAAAATCTCTCTGTGCTGCGTGATCCCGCAGGAAATTAACGGATGGAACAAAGGGCCTGCTACTCGGTTTGTGTTACTTTATGACCCGAATAGCCACGGTCATGTCTAACCAGTTCTTTTTTTAACGGGAAATAATTTTAACATTATATATTA